GCCCCCCGCCCGGGCGCCGCCGCGTCCCCGAGGGCGTGCGTGAGTTCGCGCGGTGGGTGCGGGTGGGAGCGCGGTGTACCCGGGGAGGCGCGCGACCATCTCGCCTGCAGCCGAGGGAGCGGCGCCCGTGTGTGAGGGCGGCTCGCGGGCGCCGGAGCCTACTGTGTTTGGGGTGTTTCACTTGTGCTTAAACTCCTGTAAGTGCGGCCACGTGTGTGATGAAGGAAAACTCACTGTAGTGTGTGTCTGCATGGGGTTTGTAGCTGCATCCCCTCCTCCCTCGCCCTGCGTTTCCACCTTGTGTACTGTTGCATTTGTCATGCTCAGCTGTCACCATGAATTAATGTCCTCCAAATAGATGCATGCATGTGATGTAAATCTGCAGCAGTCTAGATACAATTGGGCAGAATGTTTTTTTACACCTACCCATCTCAAAGCACATGTATTGGCGTTGTTTTGAAGAGGGAGAACGATGCAGTTTGGAAAAGCGCAGGGTGAACTGGTCAGTGTTGTGTTTGTGATAAGGAAGGGGGGGTGTTAGGTCTGTCTTTGGAGTAGCATGGGTAGTTCATTAGAGCTTGCTCCCCCTAATGCCTTATTTGTTGTCTTCACAACCTTAGAAGTCCTCCAGCCTGACGCTGTGTCCTCCATAGGCTCAGCCTGTGTGTGTTGTAGAAGAGCCTGGAGCTACACACCTGGTGTCTCTTCATAGGTACCCTAAGTATAACAAAGTAAATAGAAGTTTTTAGACCTGGTAAGTACAACACTGCACTAAACTTACAAAGAGGCTGTGACCTATAAACCACAGACAGGTGTCAGCTGATCCACTTTCCAGTGACAACATGGCCTTGTTGAATTCCTTTAAACACCTCTTCTAAACTTTGTTTTTCTTCTGGGCCCTGAGCTGGGCCTTGAACCCAGGGCCTAAAACATGTGAGATGCTTGCCTTCTGTTAGTGAGTTGCCTGCCAACCCTATACCTATAAACCTGGATTTCACCCTCTTTTGATGGGAAATGACTGGCTTTGCCTTTCCCTTTCTGTGCTAGGTAAGAAGTGGGGTATTGTGAGTGTAGGGCTCAGCCAAGAATGAGGGACTTAGTAATAGACAGGTTGAATCACTCAGTATTGCCTCTCCTGAGAGGAGACACTGGTGGCAGCCATACCTTCAAAATTTCCCAGGGAGCACTTCTCCCAGGTTCACAGCCCCTGAAAGAAACTGCCTTGCAGGGCAGGCCTATTTTTTAGACTGGGAGACTTTGGAGGGCTGAGTGAACAGCAGACACTTCCAAAGCTATCTCACTAGGTATTTAATAAGCAGATAAAAATATAAGGACAGGTGTCTGAAAGGCAGCAGAGGAAAAGTGGACTTTACTGCTCAGAAAAAGAACTGAAATTAACCTCGATTGTGTCTCTCAGGACTGGAGCTTGTCTTCCCTACTTATCTATCTGAAAGACTGAAAGAAAAAAAAATCTCAGTTTACACTGAGCCAAATCACCAAAGAGAATTAGAAACCCTCATCCATGGCACTGCCTGCAGAGTTGCCAGGAATAGTGCTTACCCTAGTGGCCTGAAATAATTAGGTATCTCACTCAGCATCTTGTCCTGGACTGGGGATTGATTTAGGCCACTGGGAAAAGGAGGGCCCAGGGCTTTGCAGCTGCACCATAATGCCTTTTCTCTCTTCTGGGATACTACAGCAGCAGCAATTGTGTAGCTAGTTACCTTCCCATTTAGTCTGAGGTTCTGTTTAATAGGAGAAAAAGTGCAGTTCCTCAAGCTAATGTTTCTTTTTTTTTTTCTCTGTTTTTGAAATTTTTTTATTTTTAAATTTGTTTTGTCTTTATTATTTTTGAGACAGAGTCTCGCTCTGCAGCTCCGGATAGTCTTGAACTTACTACATAGTGCAGGCTGGTTTCTAACTCACTGCAGTTCTCTTGCCTCAGCCTCCCAAGTGCTAGGCTTACAGGCATGTTATCCTGACTGATTTTCCCCTCTCTTTTTAAGTGGTTTTTGTCACAGAGGAGTTTTTGTTCCTTTGTTGTTTGTTCTTGGACCCATCCATATGTGTTAGGACTAATATAGAGCTAAGGCCTTGAAGTGTTCACCTATTTATTTTCCTAATTCTCATGCAAATGAGAAATTTTTCTGGAATATGTAGCACTGAGAATGGTTTGCACTTTGGTGGGGGTGCCTAATCCATTTGTGGTAGAGGGCAAAGTGTAGTACTACCCAAACCCTGGGAAGAGTATAGCATGTTGAGTGGGCTAACCAACACGACCATTGGCTTCCTGATCTTTCCTCTGGCTAGCTCTGCTCTATTCCTTGAAAAGAGCCATAATTAAAAGGTTGAACCTTCAATCAGATATGTTCTATAAATATTAACAAAATTTAATCCTAACCTGACTCAGCTGTTGATTCTTCACAGGACAGAATACTGAAGTTTAGGTGTCTTACCGAGTAATTTTTGTCAAAGTAACTGTACAAGCCACACTCTTGTTTACCAGCTGCCATCTTGGTGGGATGTTTCCCCTGTCACATAGATGTAGTACTTCATGTATGTGTTTGGTTTCGATGGCTGTTGCTGGAGATGACCGGGGAAGAGAAGTAGGAAGAGGCAGAGGTGTTGACAATGATGGTGTAGCAGATAGTAGGCAGTGGAATAATATTGTGGCTTCATAGTCACGGTTAGTAATGTCCTTACTTTCCCTCTTACTCTGAACCTTTGCCCTGGATAAGGGAGAGTTGAATTTAGCTTTAAGAAGGGATTAGTAAGAAGAGAATGTGAATGTTGGTCTGACAGGTGGGATGGGGGAGGTCAGAGGAACCCGGGGGCCAGCACCACACTAGCAGTTTGTTTTCTTCCCGGCTCCAGACCCAGCCATTATATATTTCCATGAAACAAACAGCTACTTGGAGTGTGGGGTCATTTAAACAACGTGTTCCAAAGTATGTTTTACTTAGACGTTAATGATATATTTTCTAAATTAATGTACATTTAAAAATTTATTGGTGACCTCATCTTATTTACATATTAGGATTAATTGTTGAGAATTTGTAGTGAATTTACAAAGGACCAAAATGCTAATTATGTGTGTTTATTATTCAAAGGATATGAATTTAAAGACATATAATTAAAACCAGTTTACAATTCAAAATGATTATTACTATTTGACTTATAAAATCAAATGATCAAAATAATTGCATTATTTATAATAATTCAGGCATTCATAAAAATTTAAGAAATTTGTCCATAGAAATACAGAAATTAAGATGTATGATTATAAGTTTCACTGCATGAAATCATGAATCTAGAGGGGAGTTCTAGAATTAATAGTCTTCATATCTTTTAAGGCAACTACAGGGTAATAAATTCTTCGCATGTATTGATATAAATTTTATAATAAGTATATGTAATTAGTATCATAACCATTTTGAAGAAAGAAAAACCAAGGATCAGGATGTATTTGTGCCTATGATTATTCAAAATAGAAGTTTTTGAACTGGGGTTCAAACCCAGGTCTGGGTGACCCTCAAGGAAGTTTTTTGTTGTTATTGTTGTTTTTGAGACAGGGTCTCACTATTCGGTTCAGGCTGGCCTTGAACTCACAGTAATCCTCCTGCCTCAGCCTCTCAAGTGCAGGATTAAAGGTGTGAGCCACCACACCTGGCAAGGAATTATTTTATGTCTGCTCTTTTTTGGATTGAGGGTGAGAGCACTCTGAGCACTTGCAGATGAGACTAAGAAGGGGGGCGGCAAGAGGAGATGACAAAGATATTTTGTTTCTTATGTTTTTAGCTTAGCTGCCTAGGAAATGTGAGGAAGAAGAGTAAATTGCAGGGTTGGGAAGATATATTTGATTAGAAGAGGATGATCTTAAAATATATACCAGGGGCAGGATGCTGCTACTTGCATAACGTGTGTGAGGCCCTCAGTTCTGTCCCCAGTACCACATAACAAAAGCAACAACAAAAACGAACAAAACCCCCAGAAGGAGACACTAGAGGAGACTGTTGGCAGACAGCTGGGTACTAGAGGTGAAAAATGAAGCATAAGTAAGCTGATGAGAAAACAGCTATCATTTATCTCATCTTAATAATGCCTCTTGGAGACCTGAACTCCTCGCTTGTGCTGTTAGTGGCCTCTTAGTGTCTTCTGTAGCTCACCATCCCACTAGCTTCCCAGGCGGGTGGCTTATCCAATGCTCTACAGTGTCCTCTGCCACTGTCACTGTCCTCGAAAGCCTCCTTCTGGCTGCAGGATCCAGTGCCTTTCCCCACTTCATGAACTTAAAACTCACTCCCCCCAAAACAGTGTGGACCTTACTTTGACCCAGATATAGGTAACTTCTGAAAAGTGGAACCACTTTACAATTCTACTCTTGGGCAGCGGTATCTCATGTTTCTTATTACCCCTGAGTAAACAATGAACTCTTATCAAAATCTGTACTTTTTTTCATGTCCTCTCTGTCCTTTTGGCTCTTCCCCACCCTGCCTGGGGGCCTCTGTGAGTACTGTCCATCACACTGTCCTTGTTCTTAGTCTCTTTCTCATAGTGGCCCAAAGGTGCACCTGTCTGCCAGTCCCCAATCCTTAACCATCACCCCTCACTCTTGCCCCTAAGAACTCCCTTTTGGAGACATTAATGCCATTACCAGTAGCTGCCATGGTACCTTGTGTTTCAAGCCTTAGGAAGCCACTGCACAAGCATGGCACATCTTTTTCCAGGCACCCTCCTATGTTGATCACTGTCTTTGAGGCCCTGCCAGCCCCAGCTCTCTCCAGATCAGAGTACCTTGTCTTCTCTCTCACAGAGGAAAGAAGCAACATATAACAACAACCTCACTTCTTTGTCTCTTCAAAACTTAGTATTTGTGGCAGCTTTTTGTCCTTGTGTAACAAAATGACTGAGAAAATCAACTTACAAGGAGAAAGGATTTATTTTGGCTTTTGGTTTCAGAGATTTCAGTGTATGATTATTTGTCCCTGTTACCCTTGGGCTGTAAGAACATCATAGTGAGAAGCGTGTGGTGGAGGAAACTCGCTTTGTGGGGGCCAGGTACAAAGTGTGGAGAATAGGCCGGGAGCCAGGTACAAAGAGCGAATAGGCCAGGGTCCCATCATTCCCATCAACCTAACATCCTTGCTGTAGCCTAGTCTACTAAAGGTTCCACTGTCTCCCAAGAGTGCTATCAGCAGGGAACCAAATTCCGTAAATGGACTTTGGGGTGGGCATTTAAGGTCCAAAACCATAACAGCATTGTTTCTGTTGTCTTACTCTCCTCCCCACCCTTACCAGAAGAAAAGATATTCTTTTCCTCACCAAAGTCAGCTAGATTTTTGTTTTTCCTCTTTTAAGTCTGCTTAATTTTTTTTCCCCTTCTAGGTGATATCCATGCCCTGGTGGCCTCTATATTAAAACAGGTCTAATCTCTAGGTCTTGTCTTAGCTGATTTTTCATTGCTGGGACAAAATGCTCAACATCCATAAGTTAAAAGACGTGAGGTTATTTGGGCTCACATTTTGTAGAAGTTTCAGTCCATATTTGGCTGATTCCAAGACAGGCAGACTTTTCAGAGGGATCTGGCAGAGAAGAAAGAGCTCATGGGGTGGCAGGCAAAAAGCAATAAGGGATCAAGCAGAGAGGAAAGATAAAAATCATCCTAGGCCATACCTAGGCCACCTCTTTCTGTAGGTTTCACCTTCCAGTATCACAGCCCAGCTAGAAACCCATTAGTGGACTAAACAAATGATGAGTGTCACATAGTCATGATGTTGTCACCTCCCCATAGTCCCACCTATGAGCATAGGAGGCTTTGGGGAGACATGTAGGTATAAACCATAACATTCTATGCCTGGGCCCCGAAAGTCTCATGGACATCTCTTTATGCAAAAGGCATTTAGTTTATCTCTAAAAGTCCTAACAGTGTCACTATTGTAGAAAGTCCAAGTCCCAAAGTCTTCTCTGAGATCTAAGGCAACTATCAGCTGTGAGCCCCATATAAATATGCCCATTCCAAAAGGTTGAAGGAGGGGTAGAAAGGAATTGGATCAAAGCAAGACTAAAATACTGCAGAAAAGATGTTGAATCCTGTGGGTCCATGTCAATCACCTAGGGAGTTCACAGGATGTGAACTCTGAAGGGCTTGAGTGGCTGTCTTTGCACAGCACTGCTGGTGGTTGAAGCCCCCAACCTTTTCTTGAGTCAGCTCTGCCCACTGCCTGAGGCTTTCCTTAGCCTATCCTTATTCTGGCTTCTCCAACCTTCTGGAGTCTTCACTGTGCCTTCAGCTTCACGCTCACAGCTTCATGCAATGCCCTCCCAGGAGCAGACTTCCTGACCTCCCAGGCCTGCTTCTGAAATCTGGATGGACGCCTTCTCGACCCCACAACTCTTGTATTCTGCATGTTTGTAAAGTCAGCACGATGTGGATGATGCCAGAGTCTACTGCCAGCTGGGAAAGCCCCTGAACCCTCTGCAGCATTCCTGGTAATTGCAGAGGCCTCTGAGTGCTTGGATGACTGAGCATGGGGGACTGAATCCTGGCAGATCAGTTCTCATTCTCTAGGCTGTCACCATTCTGGAGTATGATGCCATGGGGCTGTCTTCTCAAAGCAAGTTTTTCACTTGTGTAGTTTTGAGCCTGGAAAGGGTAGAGTCATGCAGGTTCTTATGGTACCCTCAGGCCAATTTTTCTATTGTCCTGTTCTAAAATACTTGGTTTTCTTTTTCTCTTTGAGACAAGGTCTGGATATATAGCCCAGGTTGGCCTTGAACTCACAGCAATCGTCCTGCCTTAGTCTCCCTAGGGCTGAGATTACACCAGTACGCCCAGATCCAGTACTTGGCTTTTTAATAGTAGTTTTTTATTTTATTTTATTTTATTTATTTATTTAGCAACCCAGTTTTCCTCTGCTCCACTTTTCAGGCCCCATCTTAACAGGTACTTCCTTTCTGGCCAAATTCAAAACTTTTAAAATCATTCTGCTGAGGTGTTTGTTTTCGATACTGTGGGTAAAGCTGACTAAAAGCCTCCCACAGTAGCCATTCTACTGGCTGAATATTAAAACTACTGTGAACTTTCTTCCACCAGATTAATCAGTCTGCTGCCTTTAATCTCAGTCTCCTACAGAATTTCATGACATGAGCAAACTGAAGACAGATTGTCTGATAGAGCAAAATACACGTGGCCTGGAGTCCAGCTGCCAGTGGAATCCTTCTTTTAGGACTGAGACCTCTTGAGCCTGGCTCTCTTCAATTGCTTTGTAGTCAGCATTCTGGTTTTCTGAGCTCCTTCCATCACGCTCAGATCACAGCATGCTGGGGCTGCTGTTTCAGCTGGCATCTCCAAACCTTTACAAACTTGGCGCCCAAGCTGGTTCCAAAGGCTTCTGAATCGCATTGTCAAGTAGCATTACTGTAGTACCCCCTTTTGGTACCCAAATCGGTCTTAGTTATGTTTTTGTTGCTGGGACAAAATACCCAGCACCCACAAGTGAAAAGATGAGAGGTTATTTTGGCTCACACTTTGTAGAGGTTTCAGTTCATATTTGGCTAGTTCCAAGGCAGGCAGGCACTTCAGAGGGGTGTGGTGAAGAAAGAACTCGTGGCGTGGCAGGCAAACAGCAACAAGGTAGGAGGAGGGATATGTACCATTCCAGGCCATGCCCACAGTGACCCATTTCTTCTCATGGGCTTTACCTCCTAGTACCACACCCAGCTAGAAACCCATCAGAGGACTAATCCAGGAATGGATATCTACATCTATGATGTAGTCACCTTTCCAAAGTGTCGCCTAGAAGCACATGATGCTTTGGGGGAACATCTAGATATAAACTAGAACAGTCCTCCTTTCTCCTTCAGTCTTTGATGTCTGTTCTTGAAGCTGCAGACTTTCTTGGCAGAGCCTGTCAGTCTTAGCCACATCTGATTTTCATAGCACTTGATTTGAATTCATTCTCACTAGTTTGGTGAAATTGCCTGACCAGTGGGTCCTCATACTTGACAGATGCAGTGGCATCTCTTCAGTTCCCATCCTGCTAGTGGTGATTGCAAATTTGACACCCATTGGCACTCATCTTTTTGGCATCTGTGGATGCCATATCTTTTGCTTCTCCTTTCCATCTTTCTCTCCCACCTCTTCAGCTTCTTCCTCTTCTATTTCCTTAGTAGGCTAGCTATTATGTTATAGCCATTAGCTTCAAGGTAGCAGACATTTGTATAATTGTTAGATACTTGTTAGCTGGACAAGTAGGCATTCCTGACAGAGGCTAAGAATCTAATTTAGAAATGGACTGATTCCTATATAAAAGCACCAGCTGAGCCTTATTTAAATCTCAAGGGTGTTGCTTTGGTTTCTTTCATGACTCCTCCCTTGTAGCTCTCTGCCTGCTCTCCCTACTGGGGAAGAGCCACACAGATCTAGACAGGGTCTAGAGGGTTTCAGTAGAGTTCTAACAACAAAAAAGATAATGACAGATGAGAGAGAGAGAGAGAGAGAGAGAGAGAGAGAGAGAGAGAGAGAGAGGCTTGATAAAAGAGTAGTAAGTTTGAAGATGCAGTGATTTTCAGGTCCATATTGAAGTACCTGAGGCAAACCATAAAATGTTTATGTAAGTATATGTATGCGCATAAATGTGTGTGCATATTTAACTGTCAGGTTTGGAGACGAGACTCAGACCTTGCTTTTAGATTCTCTCTGTAATAACTCTAAAAAGACAAGAGATGAGAAAGAAAAATAATGGAAGTACAAGGAAAACAACTGCAAGTAGCCAATAAAAGCCAAATGTCCAAAGAGTTCAGAGGACAGAGTAATTTTATAGACTGCTGTGGCTGAAGCTCTTCTTGGAAGTCATAGGCATCTTGTTTAGCTGCTGGATGCAGTCCATAAGGGAATGCTCTTGTGCTGAGACACCCTATAGAGAGAAGGAATGAGAGGAATCCATGTCCAATTGTGAGAATAGCAGAGATCTGCTAGGAGAGGAATACGCAGAATCTCAGGAGACGAGACTGGGATTTCATCTCCCTAGTACTGCATTTAAAAATACAATGCTTTGTTCTGATGATATAAGTGAAAAACAACTTGGTATATTTGAAATAGATCAACTAGGGGCATGGCAAAGGAATAGAAAAGAATATTTGAGGATGTCAGTGTGGAGATATTAAAAGTTGTGAAATTGCTGTGATAACCTTTACAAAAAGTGGTTGAATAGAAAAAGGAGGCACTCAATATTATTGAAAGCATAACTAAGGAGTAAGTCAGCTAACTGACTCACAGCAAAAGGAAAGAAAAAATCAATTATTAGGCAGTAAAAGAAATGTAAATTATAATTGAGGAATGAATGGTTCCAACAGCTGGAGAATGGGATTTGAAACAATAGTGAATAAAAGTGCAGGCTTTTTCTAACCGAATGACAAGGGATGTTTTATTTTTGCCAAGCGTTGCAATCCCTCCCCCATCTACATATTGTCTCGGCATGCACACCTCAAAGCCCTTAGAGGATTCTTCAGATACTGGTTGCATTCCAAAGTCTAGAGCCTTCTTGTTTCTTTTATCATACTCTAGCATTTTTGTCATCTTCTGCATTTCACTTATTACTTTCACCTGACGACCACTTTTTTAAAGCTTACTGGGACTCACAACTCAGTGGGGTAGCCATGGAGACTCTCAGATCTCCTTCCACAAGTGCTTGCAACAAGGAGGGCACCAGCAGACAGCCTGTAGCTGCCATGACTTCAAATCTGTGGTAGTACTCACATCAAGGCTAGGCTGTGCCCAGCATGCATCCTCCAAAGTGAAAAGCAGATTCCTGTATCTTGTGTCCCTTAATGGAAAAAAGGAAACAGAGAACACAGAAACCTCTTTGGATCTGTCACACTTAGAAACCCCTCCAGCCTGTAGGCTGTGATGTGGAAGGAAGGCTGTCCACTTTGAGAGGGCTGAGGGCAGGACGGGTTCAAGCTATGATGCAAGCAGCCCTGAGAATGATCAGGCAGATCCTATGGTGTTAGAGACTTCAGTGGTGAGAAAAGATGTGTGAAGGCTGTGGTAATTACAAGTAGAAGAACCACATGTTGGTCTCTAGGGATCTGAAGTGAGATCCTATCATCTGCAACAGAAAATTATGTATCTTTTGAGAAATAGTTCTTTGTAAGTTACTCGGCCTTTGCTGAGAAAGAACATTTGATCGTGGGACCATGGACCATTTATCCAGAATTTCCCAGTATGAGCTGGATTCTATTGAATCTATCATGACAAAGTTGGGAGGACCTGAAGCAGCATGTTCAAGTTGGACATGGTGTATCCACAATCAGGACAAAAATGGTGTGTGGATGTGCAAGAACAGGTTGTCTAATTTCTCGCATCCCCTACCAGGGTTGTAGCAGCAATCGCTCCCCATTATAACCTGTGGGAAATGAAGGCTCCATACAGTCAGGGGTGAAAAAAAGCAAGGTTGAATTTGGCTTATGGACAGACCTGCTTGGAGCATGGAAAAGGAATGGAGGCTGCATTACAGCCGTACTCAGGATTAGCCTTCAAAATCTATAGACAGAATGTTTCTAGTGGGCAGAGCTATGAATAGTGAACTGAACTGGTCATTTATTTTATGTAAAAGGAAAGATGACCCAACATCTGAATATGTGTATATTTCTGGGAAGTGGCCAACAGCCTGGCCATCTGGTCAAGGGTTTAGAAGGAAAAGAATCGGGGCCTGGAAACATAGAAGACTAAAGAGGAGACATGTGGGTGAAAGCACAGGAGCACGTGCAGGGTGAAGAGTTTTGGGCTATATGCTAATGGTCTCTATGAAAGAAGCACTGGAAGCTGAAATAAACTAGCCAATAGATGTTGGCCTTCCTTAGCAGCCTTTGCATTTCTAAATGGGTGGACAAGAATTCAGCAGTTTTAGTGGCAGGGATGGAGCTTATCATGCGCCCAACGTCAAGGACTTAGGCCCATCAAGGCCTGTTTAGCCACTGCTGCCTCTGACTGTCCAACCTGTAAGCAGCAAACTGTTCTTTGAGAAGACCAGTTACCTTGTCAGTGGCAGGTTAATTGTGTCCTCAGAAGAGCCAGTGGTCCATCCTTACTAAAGATAGACAGCTGTCCTAGGTGTGTTCTCATCTTTTCTGCCCAGAAAGCCTCAGCCACTGCTACTATGCAGGGACCTAGAGAATGCTGGGTCCACATGCATTAAATTTTATACAACAAACTCATTTGGCAGAGTAGGGAGTGCCTGAGTGAGTGCTGATTACAGGTCCACCGGTCTTATCATATATTGTATTGGTACATACCTGTATTATTATAAAGACTTCATGAGATGAGGGAGTGATCTCCTGAAGGCGCAGATGGAGTTCAGCTTGCCGATGCCGACCTACAAAGATGAGCGGAGTCTCGAGCTGCAACATATGCACGAAAGCACACTGCTCTATAGCGATATCTCTGTAGCAGTATGTGTACCTGGAAACTAAGAGGCAGAAGCAGTAGTACTACCTTTCCATCCTATTTGATTCTGACTTGCTCAGAATTTTTGTCTTTTCTATGCCTTCAACTTTGTGTTGTATGGGGTCTTTACAGGGGCTGCACACTTGTTAGGAGACAAGGTAGGTATTCTGTCAGACTTCAGCTATGACTGTCCAGTTCTGTTGACTTGTACCTGAGCATCAGCACATAAGAAAGTACCATATTGGCATGGATAATTGACTCCAGTGAGGAGGAGGAAGAGGCTTCTATACAATAGGAATAGAAAAGAATTCATGCAGAAGCCAGGCAGTCGTTTTTGGTACTTTGTAGTACTTGTTCCATTCTCGCTTTATTACTACAGATGCAGACATGCAGCAATGCTGGATGGAGAAAAGTATGACTTACAGAGTGGCCAGGTGCTGTTGGCATGGAGGCTTGGAATGCTGCCAGGAAAGCTGTCAGGACCTACTGATGTGACAGGTGAGGGTGGGAAGAATTCAGAGGAGAGCAGTGGAGAAGATGAGAGAAGTTAGTGGCCATAAGGCCACCTGCAGAGACATGAGCTGCTGTTGTCCCTTAGCTCCCCCTTCCTAAGCTTCCCTTCAGGAAGAGAGATCTATTGAGTTGTTCCCAAACGCGTGTGAAGAAGATGATCACTGCAATTCGGGAGGAGTTTGTGGTGGTCACGGATGTGCACCACTCAGATCTTCCTGTAAGAGAATTTGCTTCAGGGAGTGAAGTTGCTGAACGGCCTGCAGCTCTGTGTTCTGGGATCCCAACACTGTACTTGTCCACGTGCATCATGGCCTATGACAGCACCATGGGATTAGGAGGGCAGGGCCGTGCTATCTCCCTGCATTTCTGTGCTCTTTTCTCAAGGATCCTCAGGTCTACTGCAGCATGAAGCTTCCTTCTTTCCTTTCACCAGTTTCAGCTGACATCATAATCCAAAGACTTTTCCTAATCTGTTGCTTCCTGTGTCCCTTATTCTTCATGTGTTCACTCTGTGAAGTCTCTGGTATATCTGTTTCTGTTTCCTTAAGGCCTGAACCAATACACCTATGGGCTTTGTAAAGTTTGAACACACACACATGCACATGCGTACAGGGCTTGCTCAAAGAGAAATGGAAAGTCACATCTAGAACTTCCTGAAACTGAATTGCAATTCAGACTTCACTGTTGCACCACTACATTCCTATATTATCTATGGAGAGCTGACTTCATGGAATAATGGAATGAGCTCCTGAAGGCACAGAGAGTTCAGTTTGCTGATTTCAGTCTGCAAAAATGAGGTGGTGTCTTTCAGGGTGCAGTATATTCAGTAAAACAAACTACTCTACGGGGGTGTCTCTAACAGTAGGAAAAGAATGAGGAAGCTTTCTGAATACTGATGAGGAAATATTGTCAAATTTTAGTGGATGAAAAACATGATATAAAACAATAAACAGTATGTAATATTTTATATGTATGTGAAAACAATTGAAGATAAATAGAAAAAGAGAGTGGAAGAGGAAAGCTACATTGGAGAGCAATTGGATTTGTTCTTATTTTGAACCTTGAAGTTATTTTTTTCTTACTGTTTATTGCTCATTAAATTGAAATGGTGATCTTTAGCATCTTAGCATTTTTATTATTTTTCTTAATTAAAAATCAATCCTGTCTGTGTGACTGAATAGAGCTGCCAGTTGGCAGATGATGCAATAATGTGTAAAGCCAAAGTGTGGACCCAGTGGATTTTAGGACCCTCCAAAACTTACTGTCCCACATGGAAAAACATTGCCTGGACAGGGCCAGGGATATAGCTCAGCAGCGCAAGTACCTGCCTGGCAAGCGCAAGGTCAGTTCCTAGTACAAAAGAAAAGAAAAGAAAAGAAAAAAAAAAAAAAAAAAAAAAAACCAAAACTGCTTGGATAATCCAGATGGTGTCAGTGATTTGTGACTCATCTACCAATTGAATAATTTATAGTTTGTCTGCCTGACTGAGACAGAAATGGATGTGTAGATACTTCCAGCTGTATGATGGTGGTGTTGGTCAGCTGTGTTTCCTGGTCTGAAGGTTCTGCTATTTCTAGAAGAGAGTGTGCACTATCGTTCCCATTCACATACCAGCTTCCGCTAAGTTACCCCTGGATACCATACCTCATACCCATTTTGAATGTTCCTGCAGGACTGATACTTCATCAAGGCAAAGCTAAGAATCACTTGGTGAGGGCCAGTGAGATAGTTCAGCAGTCTAAAGCACTGGCCTAGCCAGGCTTAGGCAGGCACAGGCGACCTCAGGTTTGATCTCTGGCACCACATGCTGCACCAGACCTGCCCTCAGGGTGGGTGGGCTGAACCCCCCCCCCCCAAAAAAAAAAGAATCACTTGGAGAGCATTTTTAAAACATCACTGTGCAGCAACCACCAGCAATGTCTGTGAGTATAGTCTGATCACATCGACAGTATTCTGAGAACTTCCTCCAGTGAAGTATGATTGGAGAACACAGTCAATGTGGCTTCTGAGTGCCACCCAACCAAAAGGCAGGGATTTTTCGTAGAGAGAAGTGACACACTGATCCTTAGTAACAGTGTGTAACAAGTTTCACCTTGTTCAGCGCAGTTAGTTGGTTGTGCACTACAACTGAGAGGTGTGTTATAAATGTACCATGAATCATAGATCACAAGCAACACCTCTCAATGGAGTTGTGTGGCTGTGTTACTTCAGACTCCAGCTTTTTAAGAAATGTCATCATGGGTGATGAAACTTGGGTCTGTAGTTATGATTCTGTGACCAAAGTGCACAGTTCTCAGTGGAAATAAATCAGTTCTTGTGAGAAAAACATGCATTAGTCAAAATTCAACACCAAGGTGTTGATTCTATTTTATGACCTTAATGGAATTGTGTGAACTGAGTTTGTGTGCAGGAACACTATAGTAAACTCTGGATATTACAAGGGCTTGTTAGTGTGTTAAGAAATGATGCGTGGTGAAATGCAAATTAAAACAATATTGAGATATCATCTCACCTGAGAAAGAATGGCTATCATAAAAAAATCACGCAACAACAAATGTTGGAGAGGCTGGGGAAAAAGGAACCCTTCTCCACTGCTGGTGGGAATGTAGACTGGTGCAACTGTTCTGGAAATTGGTGTGGAGACTCCTTAGAAAACTAGGACTGGACATCCCATTTAATCCAGCTATTCCTCTACTGGGAATTTTCCCAGAGGATCTGAAAACATCATATCATAGGGATATATGTGTGCCTATGTTTATAACAGCACAATTTGTGATAGCCAAATCTTGGAAACAATCAAGATGCACATCACCTGAGGAATGGCTGAAAAAGATGTGGTATTTTTACACCATGGAGTATTACTCAGCTATAAAGAATGATAAAGCCTTTATATTGAAGTGGATGCCACTTGAAGATATACTCATAAGTGAAAAAAACCAGACACATGTGTAAATACCGTATAGTTTCCCTAGTATAAGAACTAAAGGCTGGGGAGATGGCTCAGGAGAATAAGCGCTTCCCTGGCAAGAGCAGGGGCCTGAGTTCAATCCCCGGTTCCAAAAAAAAAAAAAAAAAATCCTTAAAGGATATTTCAGGCCGGGCAGATAGCTCAGTAGAATAAGCGTCTGCCTTGGAATTGCAGGGTCTTGAGTTCAAACCCTGGTACCACAAAAAGTAAATAAATAAATAAAAATTTAAAAAAACCCCTTAAAAGAAGAAATACAAATAGAAAGGTATAATACAAGTAAAAGGAAAGCAGGATCTCGAGGGAAATAACTAATCAAAAGAGGGAAAGGAGAAGAGCTAGGAAACATGACAGTGTCAAGCCATACAGTTATATGTAGAGGATGGGCAAGGCAATGATCCTGAGAATCTCCAGAAGATTTTTGAATCTAGCAGTTAATTAGGAAGACTCTCACCCTGACTGACTATATATACTGATACCTGTGAACTAAGCAACTGCACTGCAGATGGTAATCTGTAATAGTAGTTTCATGCTTAGAGTGCCTGTCATTTTGGTCTTCTGAATATGGGCTGCTTGTCATGACATGCCCAGTTGATGCTGTGCTGTCTCTGGGGTAGATGATTGTTCAAAAAGAAGGGGGTGGTGAATGAAGGCCAGAGATAGGAAAAGGAATATTGTGGGACTGTCCTGCTTCAACGTTGTATATAGTTAGATTTTTGGACTCATGTGTAAACATAAGAAGTATATAATTCTTTATGCCTATTTTTAAAATATATTCTAATTTTTAAATGTTTTTTCATCATATTCTATAGGGACTTAAAGTTCAACATATCAATACTTGCTGAAAAATACCTGTTCCATGTTATGCCTAAGATGTTTGATATTCAGACAGATAGTGAGGTTAAGCTTAACAGCCTAGGTTGTATGGTAATAACAATAAGTTTGTCTTCTGGATGGTTAACAACCTAGGTTTGCAGACCAAATTAGAGAAAAAGGAGGGCCACAAGGAAAGCCAACATTTTGGCCCTAGCCTTCCAAGGTCAATTAAGACTCAGGACATATGAGAACTTGTACTGTAACGTCATGTAACTTGGTAGTGTCCCAAATTTTCTGATCAAGGAGATTATGGGGCCAAAGAGGAAAGTGAGCGATGATGCAGAGTGTGCATAAGGAGAGTCACATGGAGAGAAAACATTCTCTCAGGTTTTCACAGAGAGCACATTGTCCAAGCAATGGCCGTGACTCATCCACATGACTGACCCTGACACATGTTCTCCAGTCTGAGGTACAGGATCTCAGGATAAATTCTGAGGGGATTTCACTGACCTTCTCAGACCCAAAAGTTACAACTCTTGTTGCATAGGTCCTGCTTTACCTTGGTCTTAACCATCCAGCAGAAAAGTATAAAAACGAAGTATAAGAAGTAAAGCCATGCTGTTATGTTGAGCTATGGGTGACTCAGGTCAACAGTTTCTGACATTGCCAGTGAAGTGGAAGACCCAATACTCTTATGGACTACTGAACTCTTTTAGAATATTTTGCTGAGTTCACATACCTATAATATTTAAATAATGGAACTTAACAAAAAGAAGGGTATACAGATGAATGTCCATTTTGTATCTTTGTATTCAGAGTGGTTAGGATAGATACATAGTTACATTCTCTTAATGAATAGAGGCATTTGTTCTAATGGTGTTTGTAAATAGGATATGAAGTCCACATCTTGTACAGCAATTAGCCACTAGGAAGATTGTACACAATGTGTTAATTATTGAAACTGTCCTACCAATTTGGTTTGAAACTGTCTCATTGCTATTTGTTTCTCAATAAAATTATGAAAAAGAAAAAAAAAAGAAATGATGCATAGAGAAAACAGCCTGAGCAATGGGCAGTTTTATGCTCCATCGTGACAGTGCTGTGTGTCATACATTGCTTCCAGAATGGCAATCTCTGTCGAAAACCTTATGCTCAGTCCTTCAGTCCTCAAGTACCTTATGTACTGGATCTAAGCACCCTGCAACTTGTGGTTCTTCCCCAAAGTGAAAGGTAGATGCTTTGAATCAATTTGAGACGTTGAGCCAGACTTGGTAGAGTAACTCAGAAAAAAGACTTCCAGAACTGTTGCAGAAAAGTGGCCAGAATGAAGGAATGAGTAAGTGTGTTTGAGGGGATGGGGGTATTTTGAGGAGGTATCTTTAACTGTAATAAATTTTAAAAGATTTTTGACATTCACTGTATTTTTTAAAAATCATACTTCACATTTTTCTGATGAAGTCATTCCTCTGATGAAGTCATTCATTTTTTCTGATGAACTTTCTTGGTGACAATCTTGATTGTCTTGGTGACAGTATTGATGGTACTTGATGAATTCTGCTTCCCTCTGGTTGGCTTGAGGCTCAGGAATCTGCTTTTAATATGTACTGAGTGCTCTTTAAGGAAATATTATCTAGTGTGGACTACCATAGATTCTATAAACAGTCCAATATGTTTAGAGTTGTTTGGTACTAATGATCCTAATATGACTTCATCTTTTTTGCATGAATTTTCTCTAAAAGTGTTTTGTGAATTATGAACAGTATCTTCCCTGTCATTTTAAAACAGCATTAAAAGGGCTGGGACTCATACCCTGGGCGGAGTTTGGAGAACTGCTTTTGAGCTAAGACAACAAAGGATCCCCCACCCAGCTCTTGTGATTTTATAGCCAAGAGTACAATTGTAGCTTTGATCTGTCTGGCAAGTTTCTCATGACCCCGTTCTTGCTGGGCATTCTGTCGCTGAGCACACTGACCTGTCCCTGCTCCCAAATATCAGCTCCTGGAGGAGCTGGTTTTCTTTTGTCACTTCCTGGAGGTGTGGAGCAGTGTGAGACAGGAAAAGTTGAAAGCCGAACACATAGAAAGAGAATGTGTCTGAGTGATCATGGAACCAACT